ATATATATATCGCTTAAGAAGTAATCTGCAGTTGTTATAATTATCCCACCTCTCAGATAGCCTGTGTTCGCGAAATCTCTGACTGTGAAGCCGATTGCTTCTTTCAAGATTGATACTTGCATAGACTTAGAACAATTCGCAGGTGTACGTCTTGAGTTACAGTTTACAAGACCAAAATTGTAAAAATAGAAATTTATGAATAAGTTGTATGATTAGTTAAGCATGCTGATCCATTTTGGTGTCAAAGTTTAAAACCTTTTTCCGGACTCTTCCTTAAACCTTTTCGGACCTTCTAAGATTCCTTCTTGGACTCTTTCGACGAAAGAGGGTACCAATCACGATGTCGCAAGTGGTAGCTGCTTCTAGTGACCAAAGCAGCGCAAAAGAATGTGTAAAGATGTTTTATATAGATGATTGTAGAAGTGTTCTCCAAGTAGACGTTATTTCATATTCAGCGACAATAGAAGAAGTTTGCCGATCAACAGCAGACAGTGGTCCTTGCGGCAATTACGCGGATATGTTCTACTATGATGCATTCTCCGGCAAATGTCATCCGTTTATCTACGGCGGTTGTGGCGGAAATTTGAATAAATTCAAAACGAAGGAAGAATGCGAAGCACGCTGTTCGCACATTGGTGCAGACAGAAATGGTACTTTGCGTCTCCTCGCATTTGGCAGCCAATAGCTATTAGAACTTCATAAAATATCGACATTTTAACAGTGTTACGAAAATTTTAAAGACACAAACAGTGAATATCCGCGACTAGGAGACTGGAGAAGAACAGAGGGCTTAAAATGATCGTGTCTTAAACATACGCAGTTGCTTTATTGTTACTAGTTCACTGTAAAAAGAAACACAATCGAATTGTGATAATTTAATTAAAACATTCTTCTGCGGATTTTATTCATAGGAGACTGGCATCTGGGAGCTAGTGTTTTGTGATGTTGTATGGTGTCGTACTGAGTAATTAACTCGGTTTGTTTCCAAAACCAGAAAGCCAGTTTTTCATTGAATTACAAAAGAGCGCCAGAGGAAACTAAGAGTAACCTTGCCAGCAAACTGTTGCTCCAGGGCGTGACTGTTTTCGTTCGGGCTATTTTTCGAGTGCCTCCACATCTCGTAAAACGACTGTGGAAGGGATTAGGACCTTTCGTGATGAGTAATGTAAACTCAAATGTCTCTCCAAGTTATGCAAGAAGTGGGCAGCTTGATAAGTAGACCAGTGCTGTTTGATCATTTAGTATCTATGTTAAGGATCATATTGAGCAACCTCGGTGAATACCTCAAATCATCTGACTTAAATATAGTTTCACACATTCGAATGATGTTACGAGTTTCAGCGCCCCGTCCCGTGTCCAGCTTGCCACTGGAGCGCGGTTCTTTGGCACAACCTGTACTGTTGCCTGGATCCAGTCCTGTTGTTTCAGCGCCCGGTAAAATTTTCGTTTTTTTTTTGCTTATTCTTTGATATTTTATCATAATTTTTATTTATTGCATTTTGCACAGAACGGGAAGAGCTGGACTGGTTGTTTTTAGTTGTTGCAGTTTGCTTACAACGTCTGAAACTGCAAACCAAGATCTGTGTCGGCATTGTTGAGTATTAAACAGAAACCTGCTGTTTCTTCCCAGTCATCCTTCCAGATTATAAAACCCAGGCTGGAACGCACCGGCCGCGCCCGTGCGATCATGCGTTTTTGCACCACACTTAAAGTACTCAGGTCATTAATTGCGTGAATAATTGTTGCTCTACACGTTCCTTTTGCGGTCACTAGCATAAATCACCATAAATTTTGCATAAAGTAAA